GATACAGATACAGATACAGATACAGATACAGATACAGATACAGATACAGATACAGATACAGATACAGATACAGATACAGATACAGATACTGCTCAACTCTTATTGATCCGAGCTGCTGCATTATTTCACAGGCAAAAAAACTTGGCAAAAAGTAAATCAATTTTTCAGGCTACTATAGGAATCGCAGTGAACGCTGGCAGAGGGACGTCCTACCTTTCTCTACAGTGACTGACAAAAACTATTTGCAAGGATAACAAGCAGGTGCCTGTTGTTCTGTTGTTCTGTTGTCCTGCTGTGCGCTGTCTTCTGGCTGCCTGCTGTCCATTGGGCGTTGCAACAAAATGACTTTTCTTGTTGGTTGCCAAATGATCAAAGCATTTTATGCTTTAACTCGTTCGAGCAGCTCTGCCACGCCGCCCACTCCGCTGGGGTTGGCTTTTTGTGCTGCATGCAGCAGTTTCCGTTTCCGTTCGGCTGCCACTTGACTTCCGTGGCGCCTGTCTCATGTTTTGCATGTCGTCACGCGCTCGTCCTGCACTTTAGCTGCACTTATCTTGGCCCAGTTGGCAATTGTTGTTGGCCATTTTGTAGCCGTTTTGTCGAAAATGTCAACAAAATGCGAACGCAGACACACATTAGCCGCCACACACACAGCCATAGATAGCAGTCTGTGTGTGTATCTGTTTCTGTTTTTTATGTGCGCTTGCCACATCATCAATTACACATTTTACAACTTCTGACTGACTGTCTGGTTGGGTGTGGAGCGGCAGACTAGGCAAGGACGTGCTGGAGCCACTGACAAAACAGACATAAATCAAACATTTCCCACGTTGCGAAACAATTTCCGGCTGCATGAAAACTCAAGACTGTGTGTGCGAGTGGGTGTGCGAGTGTGTGTGGACTGTCTATCTTTTTGCTTGAATTTTATTTATGGCATCCGCCAAAACACAAGCACATATAGATACGCTGTGAGAGACAGACAGACAGACACATGATATATAGACAAAATGACTTCAGTTAGAAAATTTACAATTGCTTTTACTTGATACATAATTGTTATTGTTGTTGTTGTTGCTCTTGTTGTTGCTAGCTGTTTTGGCGCTTTTGTATTGCATTTTGATTTGTGGTTTACAAGCTTTTGTCTGGCTCATAAATTTAGCTTATAGAACGTCCATATGTGTGTGTGTTTGCATGATATGCCATGTGTGTGTGTGTGTGTGTGTGTGTGCAGCTGGTTGGCTTAATGGTCACTGATATGGGGTCAACAAAGAAAAATATATTGCACTGCTTATTGAAATATGAAAGGCCAAATAAAAACGAGCTTACGCTGCGTATGCGTAATATGCAACGTCATACAGAAATGTTCAACGTTGCGTATTCGTAATATGCAATGCAATTAAATCGGCTTCAATTGCATTTGGTTGTATTCCGATAAAATTGAATTTAGTTCGATGGTCGCCACAGTTTGGCGTCATTTGTCACAGACACAGCAAAAACTTTGACCAAGTTCAAGTTGTGGTTGCCTCTCCTAAGCGCCGCAGTTGACCCTTAGTGCGAAGCCACCTTTTGGCCATTGCCAATTTACGCTTTATATACGAGCCTCGTTCGGGCCATTTGCGACAAGCTACGAGGGCCGTCAGGCAGGCGAAGGGTAACCCAGAACCGATTCAATCAAGCCGAACCAAGGCGCCCACAGCTGCTGCTAATAGAATTGTGGATGAGCTGTAGGTGAGCATATTGATAGCCAGATACCCTGTTTATTTGCTATAAAATACGCATAAAATGTAGGCCCTAAAGAGCAATGCGTCAATGCGTCATAAATGGAAAGTGATGCCAGCTGTCTGCGTTCCCTACATATTCTTAAGAGTTTTCCAAATTATTGACAACTTTGAAGCCGGGGAATTTGAGAGCATATTTTAAGTAAACTATATCTTATCAGATATATCTCCAATAATTTTAAACCTTTTTCAAACTGTTCAAATAGTCAAAGCTTTCGCATTTTAAGGTTTTTCCCCAGTAGATTTCTAGTCTGAAATTTCCTATTCAACTCTTTCAGAGACTAACTTAGAAAGTCCAACTCTTATCAAATCATACAACCGTAGCAGGTTTCGACTAATTTATCTGTAATTTCGTGAGTTGCCCAGTTTTTCTTAAGACTCTTTACTTTAATTGTATATTTTAGCTGCTTTTGCAGGGTATTTAATGTCAGCAATGGCTTTTCCTATTTTCCAATTTCCTATAAATAATTCATCATTTTTTGACTTGACTTTTGCAGGGTATGTAATTGCTGTCATTTGTTTTGTTCATTATTTTCATTATTGGTCACATTTTATGATTGTTCTCTTTCGTTGGTCTTGCCCTCGGGCCCAATGCTGACTAGCTTGGTATTTGTGGCATGCAACATAATTTAATATGCCCTTTACTCGGTTTCAGCTCTCAGCTTTCAGTTTTATGTGCGACGAGTACCTTGACGCTCTGGCCTTGGCTCTGGCTCTGGCTCTGGCTGTGGCTCTGCCTTTTCTTATTGTGCTGCTTTATGTGTTTATTTGGCTTGAAAGGGTTTTCCGTCGCAGTCGCCGTAGCTGCTTGTCTCTTTCTTGCCTGCTGCTGAGTGCTTAAATTATTTATTAGACATATTTTGGGACAGACTTTGAGTAATATTATTATGATTTCTGTGCCCCAGCATATGGCATATGCCGCCAAGGGTCCAACACATAAATTATGAGCTCTCCGGCTGACCCCTGAATCCAATCAGAATGTCAGCAAAAACATTCACACAAAAAAAGCGGACTTTCCCAGAATGGATTCCTCTTTTAAATGTCGATTAATAAGAGTTGCATTGAAGACAAGTGAAAATAAGTTGGAATGAGGGGGAAATGAGGGAGAAACTGCATTTTGGAATGTCACTAAGTTATAATAGCTTAAGTCTAAGATATATATTAAGCAAATCAAATCAAATTGAATTGAATTGAATTTATGTGTCATTAATTTTTCTAGCAAATCTTAAATCTCTAACCGAATCAAATGCTGGAGTGTCTAGCCAAAAAAACCAGTCGCATACAGTCATGTTGCGTATGGTCTTTGCGAGGAAACCATTTAATTATTCATTGACCTTATTATTTGCACATGTTGCCAATTAAGCTGACAGCAACAAGAATTGAATCGATTTCATAAACTATCAATAAATTATGCATTTAACAATATTAAGTGTAGGCCACTTGAATAAATATTCATAAATACATTTATGAATCAGCCAAAGGAAAGGAATTTGTCATGACTGAAGGCAAACAAAAAACGAGGTGAAGCGCATAGAAAGGCAGTTAGAGCGAGAGAGGCAGCTTGTTTACGAGTGGCAAACAAATTTCTGGCAATTGCAAGTTGATTTTCCGAAAGTTATTTGCCAACTGAGGAAGGACAATTCATTACGACAAAATTTAACATATCTTAATGCAGTCAGATATAAATGTATATATATAGTGTGTGCACTGACTCTGTCCCTCTCTCTATCTGGCAAATATTTATTTGCATTTTTGCGTCTGCTGCCTGCTTTTAGGGCGCCTCAGCCTAGACCCGGCTCATGCGTTTCAGCATCTCCAATGCAGAACTTAATGTTTATTTTAATTGCCAGCAAGGACGGCAGGCCCCAAGGTTAACAGTAACAAGAAGTAACCAGAGCACCTCAGCTTGCTTGCATCTAGTTATTTAAGGGCCAGCTCAGCACAGAGATAGACAGAGTCTGTTAAGGAGAGGGAGAGGGAGAGGGAGAGGGAGGGAGATGTGTGCGTCGCATAAATTAGCAGCTAGTCGCAATTTCGTATGCAAATTAAATTTTATATGCCACAGCGAATGACATTTAAATCATAATTTAAGTCCATTCATTATTTATTGCAACTGACCTCACCTATAATATATTTAGTGCATGCTCTCGAGTGAAATGTTGGCTATATTAAATTAGTTCAACAGAAGCGAAGAGAAGAGAGGAGTAAAATATTTTTAGGAAGCTTAGTATTATTTTAGTTTAACAAAATTCGATGGCTTGCGAGAGGATGGAATATATTGAATAATTTATTTATACGAAAAGTGCATTTGAAATATATTTATAAAATCTATGTAAGCTAAAAGGAAATATAATATATAATTAATTCATTTATTTATTTACGTATTTTTTATTTACTAAGCTGTCATATATTTATTTTTATTAAAAATATTTTTATTTTTATATTTTAAATAAAATATATAAAATACTAAAATGTAACCTTTATAGTAAAAAATTCCTGACATTTTTCCCACTGCTGTCTCAAGTAAGTAAATCACAGATGCATCTCAAGCAATCCATCTGCATTGCTTTAAAATATACTAAAATTTTGTCATTTTTAATCATTTATTCATAATTAAAATAAATTAACCCCAACTTAGCCGCTGCAACCCAAGCGCTGGCTTAGCTGCTCCAAGTACATTTTGCTGGCAAAGACTTAATTAATTTGCTGAGCGATTGACATGAGGCTGGCTGTCGAATGCAGTGCACAAAATGAACTGCAAGGACAGCTGGGCAAGGATAGCTGCAAGGATAATTGAAAGTGACAAACGAAATAACAGGCCAATAGCCAGAGCCTGTGAACGCTGGACAGCAGCAGGAACTGCGACTGCTGTTAATAGATTTATGGGCCGCAACATGGAAAACTGTTAAGCAAACATAAAATATTATAAAGCTTGGGTAATTTCCGTTCACTGCGCTGATGCTTGGTCAGTTGAGAGAGAGAGAGAGAGGGAGAGCAAGGCAGTTGGCTGGCTGCGTTGGAGGCCTCAAAATGTCCATCAAAACGTCAGCAGGCATAACTGTGGCAAAAACTGATAAGATATGAAAAGCAATTTACGTAAACTGTCAACGACAAATTCCCTTTAACAGAGAGAAAGACTGAGCGGGAGAGAGAGAGACAGAGTGAGGGGCGCCAGGGGAAGGGCCATGCAGCAGCTGCGGAATTAAATTATCAAACTCGTATCATATACTTTATATATATTTGTGTGGGCATATGGCATATAATCTGCTTGTCACTCATAGTTCTCGCTCGCTGTCTGTTATTAAGCCGCGACTAATTGATGCGCCGCACGATGTGGTCGAAGAACAGGCAATCGCCATAGATATCCGAGCTGTAGACATTGCGTTCGGCATTCCTATGAAAGCTGCAAAAGCATTCCGCATTCACGCAGATGATCTTATGATCGCCTCGATGCTTCATCAGCAGACTGTGCGCCCCGCTCGTGACGACGCTATAGTTGTCACTGTCCGTGCAGTACATCTTGTTCAAGTGCCAGTCGAAGTAGCTCAAGTTATTCGGCCGTGGCATCAGCTTGGCCTTGCCCTCGAATATGGCCGGCCAGTTGACATAATGCTCGCTGTCCTTGAAGCGCGATTCGCGCATACTCTGCTCCAGGTCAATATAGCCAGAGATATTCAGACCCTTCTTCGAGCGCATTATCAGAAAGACAATGGTCTGCGATGGCAGAGAGATTATTATTTATATTTTTGATTGGATAGTTAAACGTAGTCAAAGTTACTCATGAGTATGCGAGTGAGTAGAGTAATCGAAAGTAATTAAAGGACAGTGCAAGGAAGACGATAATTCTATAAGGAAAGGGTATTTTGACCTGGCTAATAGCCGCAGTGCAATTACTTATTATAAGTCATATATTTATAGTTCTCAAGTTTTACAATAATATATATTTATATATATATTCAACATATTATTTTTTATTTTTAATTAATTCTTTATTATTTTTTTTTTTAGTTTGTATTTCTTCTCAGTCAAATATGGTGTGACATAAATAAAATGAAATTGATATATAATTTTATAGAGCAGACTTAGTGCTTCATCCTCTGTATTATGAGTCGATGTATGGATTCTCTTTGAAGACTATTTCAACTTACCGAAATCTGTTTTTTGAGCAGCTTCAGTTCGCGTGCAGCAAACTGCCGAAGCACTGGATCGTCACCCGTGTAGTTGTTGCCGAAGAGCGTTGAGTCGCAGACGCGACGTGGGTTCATCCTGACCTCCAGCTTCACACGCTCAACCTCGAACTCGGAACGGGACAGCAGGCGACCCATGCAGCTCTTGCCACAGGCATTCTGAATGAATTGTCTGCTGATGTCCCAGTTGCGCAGATAAGCAATATCGTTGATATTGAGGAAGCTATCCAGATACTCCTCATACGAATTATAGTTGAGCAGACTCATCTCACCGTAACAAATTAATTAACGAGTAACAATCGAAACGAGCAAAAATCAAAATATGAAAAGCTCAGCTCAAACATCGAAAAACCAAACCCGAAAACTGACAGCAAAATCATTGCCCAAAGGCAAACAACTTTCAGGGGATTTTGTGTATGCCACATATAAAAATAATTAAATACACACACACACTCACACACACTCGCACACACTGATTCGCTCGTGCTGCAAATTTAATAAATGGAAAAAGTTTACAATGCCTCGCCAAAAGTTCTGCATATTTTCAATTACAGCTTTCTATGTGCGACACAGACTGACGACTACTGATGTGCCAACACTCGCACACACACACACACACACACGCACACACATGCATATTTAAATACACATTTTGCCAGCCCATATGAAACTAATTACTTCATCAACATTTAAAGCCGCGCGGCATATGAAATTTTTCATTTTGCAGCCTGCGCGCAGGCAACAAATTTTCTTTCCTTTTAAATTTTTTTTTTTTTTTGCTCACAACTTTTTACTACATTTTTCAAGAGTGCTAAAGGGTATAATGAGCTATACTATATACTGTATATGGTCTTGTTGTACAAAGTGTCTATATAGTATACAAACCAAAGTCATCAAAAAGTCTATAAGGAAAGGGTATTTAGAACTTGTTTTGGCAGCTTTGCTTTTCTAGCTCTTATATCGGATTGCTTAGATGCGTATGCTGCTTACAGGGTATGTCAAGTGCCAGCAACATACGCCTGTCCATGTTGTGTGCATCATGTCAGATTAGCTTCTATTTTTATAGGGTATACATAACGCTCTCTACAACAGGTAACTGATTTGAAAGACCACTTGATGAGCTGTTTATTCCAAGCGGTTTACAGGGTATGCCAGCACTATCAACTTTAACAAATTATTAAATATGTATTTTATTATTATATTCTTTAATCTTGTTGCACAATTAAGATCACACAACAATTCTTATTGTTTGCAGGATATATTCAAATCGAGCTCTCTTGCTCTGAACTTGTTTATGTTTTTGTTGCTGGCAGATTGGACTGGCTGTAGGATATCTGAGTGCTACTACTATTAGACTTAGAGGATATCTCAAAGTCTATCTACAATACAGCTTTTGCTGTTTACAGGGTATCTAAAGTGCCAGCGACTTACAGCAATGCCTCTTATTGCTTTCTTACTTATTTTCAATTTTAATGCAATACAAAAAAGTAAAGCCCAAGCTGAGTGTATGTGTGTGTGTGTGTGTGTGTGTGTGTGTGTGTCTGTGTGTGTGCATGCATTTACGCTATTTAAACACAATTCTCACTGTTTGCTGCTGTTGCTGTTGCTGTCGCTGCTGCAATTAACATGCTGCTGCTGCGACAGTTGCTGCTGCTGCTGCTGCTGCCAACACTTGAAGCTAAATCTAGCAGCAACCATGACGATGTCGCCTGCTGCTGCTGCGTGCTTTGTCACCATCTTGCAGCTGGCCGCTGCCTCCTTCAGCGCGTAAATTGCTACTTCGCGGGGGCAACCAGCAGCGCCGCCTCGCGCTCTCTGCTCCTCTACTTCTTTCACTACTTCGAGCTGCACAATTTTCACTTTAGTGGGAACTTGCCTCGGCGAGGCGACGCCATTGTTTGACTTGGTCATTAGTAAATGTACTTTGTCGTAGCGTAAAAAGGAGTTAAGTGCGCACTCTAAGGATTTATGCGAGTCTCAGCTTATGCGTGCGTGTGTGTGCTGGTGTGCAAGTGTGTGTGTGCGGCAGCATTAAATGCCTCAATGCTCAGCAGTTGCCATCACAATGCGTTAAGTGCGCATTTCTCTTGAATGGACACAATGGACGTTTGGCAGCTCAAAGGGTTCAGTCTCAGATTGAGCTCGGGTCTGAGCTACAGCTATGCATATTTATGGCCATAACAGATGAGTGCTATCGAAGCATCTGAGACACAAATATAAATAGCTCATCTCTGTTTGCCAACTGCTTAAGTTAGATTTGTAGAAATATTGCGCGCGTTATGAGTGACTGTCCTTGCTTGAAGCATGATCGATATTTGAATGGGAAAAGTTTTTAAAACTATCAATTTGTATTCCCAAAATATTTCTATAAATTTTGAATGAATTCCATGACCTTGGCAAGCCATAGCATGTGTTACTTTTTACAATACGATAAACTGGCAAAGAAATTAACCACATGACCCAAAGTCATCCTCACAAGAAGTCAGCTACGTTATGCTGCCTTTTTGGGGACTCTCTTCAATGCCCGCGATCTTTGAGCAGCACAAATTATCGAATTGCTGTCGTAAATTGCATAGAGAATGTCGCTTGGCCTCTCAGTTGCCGTACATCTTTGCCAATGAAATCAAAGCCACATAAATTGCACAAATAATTCAGCACAGAGTCTGCTGCGGCAGCTGCCTTCCTGGTAGCTCAGCTCAATTGCAGCGAGTGCAGCTGTAGACAAAGGCAAAGGCCAAGCAAAGCCAAAAGAATCGTCACTTAGAGCTGACCGCAATGCTAGTCAATACAGAGAGAGAGAGAGAGGGAGACAGAAAGAGAGTGAGATGGAGATAGAGAGTTAGAGTGGAGCACTATGGCTGTTGGCCGCAATCGATCAAAAGGAATTATGTCTCAACACAATTGTAAATAAATCTTTGCGGCCATGTGGACATTATGTGCATGTAGAGGCCAAAAGGCTTGGCCATATCGTAGCTCCAACCACAGAGACCACACACACGCACACACACAACGACACATAGACACAGAGGCATGTGGCTAAATCCTGCATATCACATATATGAAGATTGAGTGGTAATGTGTGCAAATCTAAACCTCTCTGAGCTGAGCTCCTACTCCTACTCCTGCTGCTGGCCACTGCTGAGTTGCTGCTTCGTTGTCCTTGTGCTTGGCCGTTGACATGTTGGTAAATTGGTCCTTAGCCGATTGCATCGATTGCTGCTACATCGTAGACAACGAGTCTACGCTCACATTTGGTTCACAGCCCCGGCGCTTGTCCCATCCGCTGTTCAACATTTTGCCAACTTGGGAATTAAGTCTAAATGCCGGAAATTAATCTGCTCGCAGACTACAAATGCAATATTATTCAATGTGATTTTACAAGTGTCCTTGTCATTAGGAAATTGCCATGCTTTCGCTCGCTTTCGGCTTAATGGCCCTGCGGCCCAGCCGAGCTGGCTACCAAAAACAAAATTTATAATGCGCATCGATAATGATTTGTTATTTAAAGCTCAGACAAATATCCGGCAATTTGGGCGTACAGCAACATGAACCAGCACAGGAAATACAATTTCAAAATACAAAAAATAAAAAACACGCGCACAAACACATTCAAAGTTGCTGTTGTTGTTGTTTTTGTTGTTGTCTGCTTATCACGTGGCACGCGAAAACCACAAGAAACTTATCGACACATAATCAAGAGACGGCGATGGCGACGTTGCCGGATTTGAGTTTGAGAATGTGAATCATTGCCCAAGTTTTTTATTTCCTTCATCTGCTTCTTCTTCTTTTTTTGTACATTAATTTGTTTCTGCGGAGAAACGCCTGGGGCTTTGTGCAATCAGCACGAGGATGTGCCGCGGCCAGCTGTCTTGGCAACAAAGCCTTTTGATGCTGTCGGGGGAAATTTGGGAAATTCGATAGCAGGAAATGAATCGGTCGACAACGCGGCGTATGTGCAACGCGTGGCAACAGTCGCAATAGCCGCAGCAACAGCAACACCAAACCAAGATAAGTGAACAGCCATTTAGTCCTCTGGGACTTGGCAGCAGCAGCAGACGACGCAAATGCTGTAACAGATAACCGAATTCTCACATTCACTTTCAACAAATAAATAAATAAAATATAAAAATTGTATATAAAAGATATAAAAATGTATGAATTTGTTATTAAAACTAAGAACAATTAAACAAAGAATATAAAAAAAAAAATAAAAATAAATTAAAAATAGAATAAAAATAAAAATAAAAATAAAACTGAATTTAACATCGCATAGTTAAATATTTAAATAATCTAATGTAAAGGTTTTAAAAATTACAGATATTTTTGATTTTAAGTAATACATTTTGTTGGGTGAAAATAATAAAAAATATATGCATAAAATATTAAAAATAAATATAAGGAAAATGTTAATTAAAAAAATGTTGTTTAAAATAAAGTTTACAAAAAGTATAAATTTATATTTATTTACTAAATACATTTTCGGTTAACACAATTTCTATTTGGTCTGTTTAAAATTGATTGAAAACGATTTTTGGAACAGCAACAAAAATTCTTTGCAGCTAATGCGAAGAAATATGGCAAATTCCGCGCGTTGATCTCATTTGATATTTAAAGTAAAGGAATTTAATGAAAGCTGACTTGAGACGCATTTATTTATGACAATGTAAATTTACAATTTTCCGATAATAAAAAAAGCCGTAATTTAGAATGTGAATTTTGTGAGAGAGATATTAAATCTAAGTATAAATTATTTAAAAATAAAAAGACTTTTTATTATTTTATATTTACAAAATTGAAATGAGTTTTTAATATTAATTTTAATATTTAAATATTAAACATATTATAATATTAAAATAATATTATTAATATGAATTAATTTTTAGTATTAATTATTAATTTTAATATTTAAATATTAAAAATACTTTACAATACATTTATTTAATACACAGCTTCAGCTTCTTTCTTATTCTAACCTTGGTTAAGCAACAAAATATTAAAGTTGTGAAATTTAAATTTAAATTTAAAACTAGATCTGAATTCTGTACACCAGAGACGCAATCAATTTGCTCCCAATCTGCTTTAACGTGCCATGAAATGTTATTGTGTTAGCTGATTAAATGTTATTAAATGGAATTCGGCACATGCCATTATGAAATGCTCCGTTAGCTAACAGTACTTAGGCTTTAAGTACACGTTCATTGCGATGAGTGTGTATGGTCGTGGGCGTGGCAATGGGCGGCATGGCATTAGAACGGCAGCAGCAGCTGCTGAATGTCTATCTGTCTCTCGGTCCGTCTGTCTGTCGTGTCTTCTCTCTATTGTTTGGCACCTGCTGCTGCTGCTGCTGCTGCTTGTTGTTGTTGTTGTTGCTCGTGTTGCTGGCCATTAAAATGGCCTTGCCATATGCCGAGCATATTAATTTTTGTTCCACATTCAAGTTGAAAGCGACT